TTAAGAGAACTCCTACACCGTACACACAACTCGATGGATAGGCGAAAAGAAATTTGGGCTGTTATTCGTTGCTTCAAGAACCACTGTTAAATTCTTGGTAGGGTAAGCTCGGACAAGGTAAAAGCAGAGCTCACTTGTTTTACTTTTTATTTGAGCAAGGTATCCAAAATGTAAAAAGGGTTAATGAGCAAACTTCACAAAGCTCTTGACATTTAGTCCAAGAACGATTGAGATTTGAACTTACAGAACAAATCATAAGACTTTACCACAAAAAAATTGAAAAACTAGTAGTAACTTACGCTTGCGACTTCTCTTCTTGTACAAAATACGATAACCACATTCACGGCAGCGAATTGCATCTTTCGGACGAATCTCATTCTCGTAATGGCACTCTACAGATATTTAGGTAATAAAGCTGTGAAGAAGCAAAACAGTGAAAGTATAAAAAAGTCTATAGCATACCTCCACAAATGTAGATCATACTTGTTGATTTTGGTTGGGCTGTATTGCCACCAGGCATCGGTGTCATGCCGCCTTCCATTGTTGCTGAAAGAAATTGACTGCAGTGAGAAAAGACAAAGTTATCAATAACATGTGCGTGAAGAATATTCTAGAATACGGAAATATTACAAAGAAACCACGTGCAAAGAAAAAAACTGTGACAGAGGGTCACTTGACCTTCCAGAGGGTTTCTAAATCGTTCTATTGTACTCCAGAGACAAAACTTCGCCGAAAAGGAAGATTTAACATCGTGCACAAATATAAAAACATACGAAAACTGTTTCAAGAAGGCTCACAGCCTTTACGAAAATTGTTAAGACATGACATGCTCTAATCATCAGCTTTGCGTTGCGGCTCGCGCACGTCCATAATTAGAGCGCGTAAACTCGCACTGAGTTTGCTGAACCAGCGCTGTTTCCTCTAGGGAATGAATAACCTAAACACTTTCATCTGCACTTTCTCGTCAAAGCGCCCTGTTTTCTCTCTAGGATATCTTTTTGTTGAGCGTCTGCACATTTTACAGTCGTGTCTTTCATATCTATTCGTGTCCTCATAAGCTTGACTACTGGCTTGACTATGTGAAATCATTTCAGAATGTCTTCAGAGACGTCGAGTACCAACACTCCAGATGTAGAGATGGCATCGGTACGAGGGCTGGGAGCACCAAACTCAATTCCTCAGCCCACAGAAGCGAGACCTTTTGTACTGAAGGTAAGCTGTTTTGGTTTTGGCTTCTTTCCACTTTTACTTGAGCTAGGTTGTATAAATGTTCATGAGCTGAAACTGTTTTTCTTCTAATGTTCGCTCTTTTGCGCGAAAATATCACTGCTAAACTAACGCGAAAAGGTCCCATTTGCGGGATGGGTGGTTGCTTTCACGAACACCAAATGTTTTTCTGAAAACCGGCGGGAAAAGCTATGTTCTACCGAGGATCTATGATAGTCATATTAGGAGGTCTTTGACGAAAGAAACGGCTCAGCTTTATCTGTGCTACTTCTCAGGAGACGGTCGAGATGCTTTCTCCGGCTGTAACTCAAAACCCAAGTTTAGCGCTACGCAAGTCTTTAAAAGGCGCAAATGGCTTACTAGCTGGCTGGAGCTACCACCTTGCTGAATTTGACGGCTTTTGCTGAAAATCTGACCAA